CTGTCCATGAACAAGCACTCTCATGCAGCTACATTCCCACGTGCAAAATCTACAGACATTCTGGTGCCAACTTTCGCTGCAAGAGCGCGATCTCGAATGCGGGTGTGAACACATAGCCATAGTCACTCAACATTTTTCTTCCGGCGCGGTTATTGCAAACTTTGGCCTTCCAAGCGGCTCGCGGTAGGTTTTTCCATCTTATGCCCTCGGTCGAACATCGACCTCATTCGGCTTGAAGTATGTATCCTCTCTCTTGCGATGTCCAGATTTTTGCCTCAGTTGTTTTCACATGCACGAATCTGAGAAGATTAATCTCTTTGCAAACATGTCTTGAATGACTAGCTTTTGACAATGGATGTCGCAAAGCGCGGTCAAGAGCAGATCTTGCTTTGATTTGCCGCAGAAGAACGTTTACCCCTGGCTCTTGAACCGCCACTGCTAGTCGCGATGGATTGGATGCCTCGCGTTCCTGCCAGGGTTGGGGGTCAGATTACCCTTCATCACTGTTTTGAAAGTGTTCGGTTCCGGCAGAAATGCGATCCTGGCATTATGCAAGGCCATGCGTGGGTTATTGCTGCCACGCCCGGGCGCCTGCTGGATTTGCTGTGCAGCGAGGTTGATGAAGGCGGCCTTCCATGCTCTGACTGTTTTACCTTCAGGCAACCTGCGGGATAATAGCCCCGGAGGTCGACGCCCGTTGCATAGCGTTCGCGTGTTTGTGTTGGATGAAGGTGACAGGACTGGCCGTGCATGGTGCCGAATCAGGTAGGAAAAGTCGAAAGACCTGAATCCCGAGGATGCTCGAGGAAGGGCTAGGAGACCAGCTTGATGCAGTGGTGCGCACCACCTGTTTTTGGGAGACGGAGAGAGGGTGCAGACGAGTGAATTCGGGAACATAGATGCTTCATGCAAGGCCCGCCACACAGCGCTGCTGCGTCAGACGCTCTTCTTCTCTGCTACGTGGTGTGAGGGCAAGGCCAGTTCATTGAAGTGACTTTGCTCCATCATTTTGCTGCTTTCAATTTCAATGCATCTGCAAGGTTGGGGTGCCAGCTGCGCGTTTGTGCCTAAAGAAGCCGGTCTCTGCCTCAGCCGTCAGCCGTGGCTTGGAAGCTTAAGCTTGAAAGCGCTCCGAGAGACTCCGAGAATCACTTAGGTCATGGTGCAGGTTGGACCAGGCATGGTTTACTTTGATTTAATCTGTTGCTGCCATCTGTGCTGGCAGGATGAAAGTTTGAACTTGCCAGCACTTGAGCAGATAGGTTGGATGCTGCAGCATTGTAGTCAACGTGCATTTCAGAGAAGGAAGCGCAGTAGTACATGCTCTGAAACTACGGCCGCGCCGGTCTAGCAGGGAGGTATGCGTTTCCGGGGCTGAGACACAAAGCCTTGCCAAGACTGGTCTGGTAGGTCTGAGCCCAAATCCGGCTGCCATCCTAGTTCTGCTTCGCACAGGTGAGTCAGCTGACCAATCTTTGGGGAGGCCCAGTCTGGCAAACAGGCCAGCCTCTACACAAGGCGAAGATTCCATGCCCTTGTCTGGGGACTGACAGGAACATAGATCAAGTCATCGAAGTTTTCGACCTGGAGGAGTCGGAGGATGGAACATGCAACCAACTACAACGCCTTGGCTGAAAATTGGGAGTGTAAGGGCATATCAGCTGCACATAGACCTTGCTTGGTTTTGTGCCGAAGCCCGAATGCTGTGTGCCTCCGAACACAGCATGCAGGAAGAGCGAGAAGTGCGGAAAGAGTTGCGTCTTCTCGAACTTCTGAGAGACTTGACTGCGCATGGATGGCGTAAGTGCGCGTGGGCATGCATATGCGTGTGCGTGTGTGGACACTAGGAAAGCCTGCCAGAAGCAGGCACAACAATACATATGTAATATCATGTTATACAGTGCGAGCACAGGGTAAGAAAGCAATTCCGTGAACTCAGAGGTCACTCATTTTCTTAGCTTGCTCTGCCATGAGCATGTGGCTCTCAGAATCCTGTGTCCATTCATCTCTTAGCATTGTTGCAGTAGGCAGCAGCATTTGCAGGGAGCAGGTGCTAATACCGATACCTCCACAGTGCGTTGCGGTCATGGGTTCCCTGTAGGGCGCTTCATTGGAGGATGGGAGGGAAGTGGAGATAGTGTTAAGAAAATCAGTGCGCATTTTCTTAACCGAATGCGCGGACTTTCTCAATTGGATGTAGGGTTTCAGGCAACCACGAATCCTCAGATGACATCCAAGATTTATGTAACAACTTTTCCCTGAAATCTTGAGTCTTGCGGCTTGGGGCCAGAAAATACTGAAATCTCAGTATTTTACTGAAACTTCAGTATTTTTTTTATACTGGTAGTCGTTATTATATATATACACACACTATAGGATCAATGGAGAAACATAGGTTTTGGAGGAGGAGTACTATATATAACAGAAGTTTTTTCTTGTATAGGCGTGAAATATAAGCCTTATGGAAACATATAAAGGTAGTTTGTTTGTTTTGTTTGTTTTTTTTTTTGGA